GGTTGTAGCTTGCTTTTGCTTAATTTCATCTGATCGAAGGCATTAACAAAAGATGATGTCTGTGGAGCTTCCGGGTCTATGAGAACCTTGTTGATTTCTCATCTTGCTATATTGGCTTTGATCACCATGGCATCAGCATGGGTGTAGCTCTCCAACTAGAGGTCCTGTTCTAAGAATGTGATGGGTGTCTTTGACCAATCTGTGTAACGTACTGGTCCCTGCACTGCTATGTTGTTAACGAGCCTGAGGTGATCTTTCTTCTGCTTCTTTGTTTGGAATTCCATTCAAGAGCCACCGGCTATCAGTAGTATCATGCTGTTGATGGGTAGTGGTGTATGTGGATTGAGCTGGTTTTCTAGGTTGGGCTCATTTTTTGGGGTGTGTAGCTGTGATGGAGGTGGTGGCGGAGGTAGTGCTTCGAGTTGTCTATTGTGCGCTTGACCTAGCTGGCTTGCCTCTATGAATGTTATGTGTGGAGGCCTTGGGTTTATATAGGTAAGGTTGGCTTCTGCTCGCTAGTTACTTGACTGCCCTTGCTGCTGGGTGCTTGGTCGCCATGCAGGTAGGAAGTTGGGGTACTATGCGGCTGCTAAGGTTGATGGGTGAATTTAATTAGAGTTAAGACTTGGGTAGATTTAGCAATATGGGTGCTGCGAAGGCGCATCGAAGGTGTAGTTGACCTCCCTGGCGGGTTGTTGTGGCAGAGGTTGAGGATTTGCCCTATTTTTTATTCTCTTCTGAGTTTCCTTCGCATCTGGGCAATCTCTGGTGATGTGCCGTTGGTTCTCTCCATGAAAGAAACAATACTGCCTTCGTTGTCTTGGTTCTTGGTTTTTGTTCTAGTTCTTCCTTTGATTGTATTTCTTGCCTTCATACTGCTTTTGTGGTGCGTTGTTTGGGGCTGCCTCCAGTGTCTGCTGCCCTTGCTAGCTATTCCCTTGCTGCTCTATGTTGAAAACTTGTTGATCTGACAGTTGCTAGGGCAGTGACTGGCCTTGGCTTTCTGTTGCCCCTTTGTCCATTCCTATTGTTCCCTTGGTACTGTTTGTTCAGATTTTTCTCCTCTAGCCTTCTGCAAAGGTCGTTGTCTGACTTGCAATACTTCTCAAACTCACTATATAGTTCTTCTATGGTATTTGGCTTCTCCTAGGCTAGATGAGCAGTGAAGGCTCCAATACGGAGACCTTTAATTGCTGCTTCAATTGCCATATCTTTTGGGACATTTGGTGCCTTTGCTTTTAGCTACACGAATCTTTGAAAATAATCCCTCAGGGCCTCACCTTGATTTTGCTTGCACTGGAAGAGGTCCATCGAGGTTAAGGATTCCGTGGTGAACCCTTTGAAGTTTGCTATGATCTTGTCGCGGAGGTCCTCCCATGAGTATACCAAACTTGGTCTCAGCATAGAGTACCATGCCAATGCATCACCTTTGGCTATAATAACTAATGACTTGGCCAGGATAGTGTCATTCCCCCTGTGGAGGCTACAACTACCCCAAACTCATGATGAATTGGCGCGGGTCTGACCATTCGTTAAACTTGGGTAGGGTGATGGGTTTGTAAGATGGGGGCCAAGGTGAGCTTTCTATTCCTTCGGATAGTGGAGATTTTGAATCTATTGTTCTATGGACTGTAGGTGAGGAGAAAGGCGTGCTGAAGGTTGGTTGGGAGGCCATTCCTGGCAAAGGGTTTGTTTGGCTTTGGTTTGCTGACTGGGGTTGGATGGGTGAGTTCGAAAGAGATTGACCAGGCTGCATGCTTTGAATCTCCACCGGTAAGACGACCAACTACTGCCTAATCTCTACAGCCTGAAGTGATGCCTGGATTGCCCTTTGGTTTGCAGCGAAGGTTGCCACCAACCTATCTCTTTCTTGCTGCGTACTCTACAACTGTGCTTGAAGCTGTTGGAGCACTTGCTCTAGGGTTGGTTCTAGCGCCGGCTGTTCCTCGATCGCCACAGGCTGATCCTCCGGCACATCTTCTTCTATATCTGGCTCTTCGGTAGCGGTAGCATAGGTGCTACGGGTGTTACGCCTGGGCCTTCCCCTTCTAGTAGGCTCCGAAGGTGCTCTTGCGGAGGCTGCTCTCTTTCTTGCCATTGTGGGTTTTGCTTTGCCAATACGCGATGGGCGTCAATGTTGGAAAACCAGGTTTCCAGCAGGTGGGACACGGTGAAGCCTTCTCCTAGCCAGGTACCCTGGGCGAAGGTATGGAAAGTGAAAGGTGGGCTTAGGCTCAATTAGGGTTTCATAAAAGTATTCACCAACCAACTTACATAGGATCTCGCTCCCCCTTTTATAGGACACTACATGCTGTTAGTTCATTGTACATTTTTGCTCTATGCCCGCTTGGGTACATTCCTAGAATATCCTTATACTAGCTCAAATCTTCAGGGGCATTCCAGGTCTTTTCCTCTTGCACCGCCTTTGCCTCTCGTGCCTCCCCAGCAGGCCCACAGTAGGCCCATCTCCATCATTAGGCCATGGTGTTGTAATGACTCCCTTCTTGGGTGGGGGTTGCGCGGCCGTCGCCCAAACTGTCTGTGCCTCCGCCCGTGGTCCGCGGCCTCCGTCGAGAAGCCCCTCCGAAGGCCTTCGGAATCCGGCTTGGGCCTCCTCTTCCTTCCTGACCAGAGGCAAAATCTTCTCTTAGTGTCCCTGCGTTTTGACCTCCGCCATGTCGGTGGTCGGATGCGAAGGCTCCTCCTTTTCTACCTGCACGTCACCAAAACACGTAAACAACTGTTGTTATGTTCGAGCCTCCGCTACTCATGTATCTATGTCCCAACACTGCTCCACCAATATCAAACCGTGTGTTTGAGTATATCTGTGTGTGTTTGTGGAAAATGAGTAACATATATCTAACAAAAATAAGAAAGAAACAAAGAAAGAGGACCGAAAGACTAGGCATCTGCACCTTGATTTGTTGCGGGGACAGATAATGCTCTGTGTCCTGCAGCTCCTTGGTCTATTGTGGTCTTGTGGGAGTAGAGCAAAATGCCTGGCCGGGACGGGCTAGTTGTTGCATTTATCATTGAGATGCCGAATTGTTAGATTTGCGATTCATGTATGTATAATAGTATATATAAACGAGTACACAAGTTTGGACGCAGAGCTAGCTAGGCATGTAAAATTAAATGTAGAGAAATACTGCATCATGGGAACAACGGACCTGTTGAGAGATGGTTGGATGGAACTGGAAGTACGTTGGACCAAGTGCCGGCGTGGTTTGTGGAACAGCGCCTGCTGGCTATCAGTTGCAAGGTTGGAGATGGCTAGATCCGGCCTTGGTGGAGTCGTCGGAATCTTGGCATGGCTACTGCTCTTCTTGATGGAGGCTGGCCGAGGTGGTGTGTGAATGGCTGAAGGCTGATGGGTTGATGGCGAGGATTGCGGTTAGCCGGTGCTTGAGGGGGCGGATGAGCTTGAATCTACTTAAATGAAGAAGGGAGCTAGGAGACTTGAGGTGCTTAGCTTTGAGTAGATTTTGTTTTACCCTGAACAGCTTCAAATATAAAACTTATCGACGACAAAGCTGTAGATCGCAACAATTTGTAGTTATAAATTTCATCTTCGTTTGACATCATAAAAGTTATGAATTGTCTTAAAGACAACCATTACTAATCAGACCTTGAGACACCGCTGCCTCTTTTAATTGATTTACAGGGACAACACTCTTCTAAGAGGTCCACCTCTAAAATAGCTAATTACAGAGGTGGTCATCAACAGTAATTAGCTAATTACAGGGACAACACTCTTCAATCCAACAGGGTCCCCTCTCGGGTCCCTACCTTATGGAGGACCCACGAAATCTCCCCCTTAGCCCCCATCTCCCATGGGTGTAGGGAGATCTTTATTTCTTCTTAGAAAATATTTTTCTCACGTACTCACTAAAGGTGTCTTTTTGTAATCCCTACTCTTTCTGGCGCCCCCACCCTAGGTGAAGCCCTCGGCCCGATCTGGCACCCATCCCATCCCCCGACAAGGCTATGTATGGGTAGTGGATCATGTATGTCTACAGAAATGGAGTTGAGGGCTTCTATTCGAATATATGTAAAAAAACAGACCATAAAAGTAAGGGGACCCCACGAATCTAAAGTAGGGGCCTTGGTTTGTGGGCTTCTATTGAAGTTGCTCACCTATCTTAATTGATTCACAAAGGCGGGAGTCTTAAGGCTACTGCCTCTATAAATTGATGATTTGTAGAGACAATGGCCGTAGGTGCTTGCTAGTATAAATGATTAATAGAGGCTGACATTTATCTGGTTCTTGTGTCACTATTTTCTCCCAAATCCTTTTTTTTATACGTACTATGGCCTGCAGTGGCCCTGCCCATAAATATATCTATACGAGAAACTAAGTTAGAAAGAGATATAAGATGTGGACAATAGGAGAGAGTGCTGGTAATGCCCAAGAGGGGCCCGGCCCAATTAGCAAATCTATAAATGCTAATCAGCTTTTAACCCTAGGTGATGATTCCTGCTGTCGTAGGGCTCCTGCCAGTGCAGCCACCGGCCAAGTTTACTGTCGCCGCTGCACCTGCATTCTTCCCCTCGATCAAAGGTTGATCGTGAGGATCTTCGAGTACGTGCCGTGGAGTGCTAGCACGCTCCGGTTCATCGTCCCATCCCATACGTGTGGACTACCGTAGAGGTGTCGCTAGTTTGTGCACTTTGTCAGATCGTACGATTACTTCCTCGACGTTTATCGGATCGACTACTCGAGCTTCATCAAGACTTCGCTGCGACACGCGACGAGCGAAGGTATAATCTATGATCATCTACTCGCAAGTGATCCTGTTTACGCAGTTAATTCTTTGTGTGCTAGTGAGTAGCATACCGTGTTTCTATCAGTGGTATCAGAGCTATGCTTGTGCTGTTTTTGATCTAGATTAAATAATTTTGCATGGTTGGTTGTAGATCAGATCATTTTGGCGAATAGCGTTACACGCGAATTGAACTGTTTTACTCCGTTCTTGCTTCCTCATTATGTGACTGGCTAAATGGCCGTCTTTATGACGGCGCGCGAGCATCGCGCGGCTAACCACGAGGTTGTGAGTTCGTGTAGCGAAACAGTCAATACGTGGCATGAACGGCTATGTCGGGTAGAACGCCATGCCTATTAGCTTGCTGGCAGCATGCGAAAAATCTGTTCTATCTGTTATCGGCTGACGAGACCATATTGTGTTTTAATTAAAAAAACGGGGACGTGTTGCATCGTTCGTAGAAACACCTAACTCGTTTTTGCAGAGAATGATGTGATGGTATGGCCTCAAAATCTTGTGATGATCTATGTGTAATAAATTTGTGGGGCCTGCGTGTCACAAATTATTACAGCCGGGTTGAGGCTGTTCATTTTTGGCCTACGTGCCACTCCTATGATGTAATTTATAATTTTAATGTAGCTACTAGCGTGTATTAGCTGAATTAGATTATGTAATTCATCGACACGAGCGAAGCGACTCGGCGACCGTCGTACCTTGGAGAAGGCGCCCAAGATGCGACGTCTCGGCGTAGGCGTGCGGACTAGCGGTTGTCGACATGTGCTGATTTTCATTGGACGAAGAAAAGGCCATACTATCACAATAATTTGATTATCTGTGATGATTAATATTATGCACTGCCTGTGATGCGAATGATGAATCCCTCACCAAAAATTAAGATTTTATGCCCTTCCAACAGCTGCACCATTGGGATCTTGTTAGTAGGTGATGGGTCTGCCAAAGCAGGGTGTCATCTTCTACCTTGATCCATTGGGTGGTGTTGGACACCACAGCATATTGTTGGTTTACTTGACAGAGCTATCAAGTCGGACTTGGGCTTTGGGGCATAAGTGTTGGGAGCCGAGACATATGATGTCGCCCAACAAACGAGAGTCGCATTGGATGCGATTGGCAAGTGTTGCCTACCTTGTTCACAATGATGCTCGCAGTGATGCTAAAGCTCACTAGTATCACAGGGTGCGTTGGATCTCGTCCTACTATGCAACGCTGGGGGACGTTCGCACAACATAGCAGGAATTATTTTATTAAAGGTGTTAATAAAAGAAGTGCTAACAGTTGCATATCTTACTGTTGTAGAAAATGTCGAGTGCATCAAACTTCAATCTGCGATCGATCCTAGATAGAGAAAAGCTAAACGGAACAAACTTTGTTGATTGGAATCGAAATATGAGAATTGTTCTCAGGCAAGAAAAAAAGGAGTACGTTCTCGATACGCCTTACCCAGAAGAGCCTCAGAATGTCGCGCACACCACTAGTGCATATCGTGCTTATGTGAAGCATACTGATGATGCGGTGGATGTGTAGTGCCTGATGCTTGCTTGCATGAATTCTAAGTTGCAAAAGCAATTTGAGAGCACTAACCCGTACGATATGATCATCGGGTTATGTGGCATGTTAGAAAACCAGGCGAGGGTCGACAGGTTTAATACCTCAAAAGCCCTGTTTGGTTGCAAGCTCGCTGAAGGTGCTCCAGTCAGCCCTCATGTGATTAAGATGATTGGGTACATTGAGAGCTTGCAGAGACTGGGTTTTCCCCTCGATGACGATCTCGCCACCGATGTGATACTACAGTCCCTGCCTACTAGCTTTGAACCGTTCATCCTGAACTATCACATGAATGGTTTGAAGAAATCGCTGACTGAGTTGCATGGGATGCTTAAGACGGCAGAGGCGAGTCTTAGGAAGACTCCTGGTCATGTGATGATAGACCAGAAGGGTAAGAAGCGTAAGCGCCCACCGAAGGCTAAGAAACCTACCAAAAGTGGGACTTCTGGGTAGGCGTCCAAGGCCAAAGAACAGAAAGTTGGTGCCTCCCCTGACGATGCTTGCCTTCATTGTGGTGTAAAGGGGCATTGGTCTAGGAATTGCAAGAAGTACTTGGAAGATAAAAAGAAGAAAGGAGGTGCGACCTCCGCTCATGGTATTAATGTTATTGAAATTAATCTTGCTAAGCATTCTATTAATGCATGGGTATTTGATACTGGTGCAATGATTCACACTTGCAAATCATTGCAGGGGCTGAAAATAATTAGACGCTTTGCGAGAGACGAAGTGGATTTGCGCGTCGGGAATGGAGCAAAGGTTGCTGCGTTGGCCGTCGGCACTTATCCATTGTCGTTGCCTTCTGGATTAGTGCTAGAACTCAATAATTGTTAATTTTTTCCTGCATTGAATAAGAACATTATTTCCTCCTCATGTTTAGAGTACGATGGTTATGAATTCATAATAAAGAACAAGTGTTGTTCCATTTTTATGAATGGCATGTACTATGGGGGATGTCCTATTGTGAATGGGCTTTACGTTCTTGATCTGGAAGATGCAGAAATTAATAGCATTAGTACTAAGAGAACTCGTGTAGATAACTCAAATCCTACTTACTTGTGGCATTGTCGTTTAGGCCATATAGGCGAGAAACGCATAGAGAGGCTCCATAAAGATGGTCTTCTCGATTCTTTCGATTTTGAATCGATTGAGACATGCGAGTCATGCCTACTTGGAAAAATGACTAAGACTCCCTTTGTTGGACAAAGCGAGAGAGCAAGCGAGTTATTAGGCCTAATACATACTGATGTATGTGGTCCAATGAACTCAGTCGCAAGAGGTGGTTTTCAGTGCTTTATTACCTTTACTAATGACTTGAGTAGATATGGCTATATCTATTTGATGAGGAATAAGGCAGAATCCTTTGAAAGGTTCAAAGAATTCCAAAATGAAGTACAGAATCATACTGGCAAGACAATTAAATTCCTACAATCGGATCGTGGTGGAGAATATTTGAGACATGAGTTTAGCGATCATCTAAAGAGTTGCGGAATTGTTCCACAACTGATTCCACCAGGAACACCGCAATGGAATGGTGTGTCCAAGTGGAGGAACCAAACCTTGTTGGACATGGTGAGGTCTATGATGAGTCAGACTGATCTTCCATTGTATTTTTGGGGCTATGCACTAGAGACTGCTGCGTTTACACTAAACCATGTACCATCTACATCTGTGGAGAAGACGCCATATGAGATATGGACTGGGAAGCGTCCTAGTTTGTCATTCTTGAAGATTTGGGGCGGCAAAGCCTATGTGAAGCGTTTGACGCCCACTAAACTCGAGCCCAGATCTAATAAATGTGTCTTTGTGGGGTATCCTTGGGAAACCAAAGGATACTATTTTTATAATCGTCAAGAGAATAAAGTGTTTGCTGCTCGAAACGCTATCTTTCTTGAGAAAGAGTTTCTCTCGAAAGAAATTAGTGGCAGCACAGTGCAACTTGAAGAAGTTCAAGAAACACAAGAAAATGTTTCTGTTCCCGTTGATGAGGTGCAACATGATGAATCAGTGATGGTCGCTGCCCAACATGATGAACCTCAACCACGAAGATCAATACGGGCACGTCGCGCACCTGATAAGTACATGCTACTGATTATAGGGCAGAAGGACATCCTATTGTTGGACAATGAGGACCCTAAAACATACATAGAAGCATTGATGGGACTGGAGTCTGAGAGATGGCTTGATGCCATGCGATCCTAGATGGAGTCCATGAGAGAGAATCAGGTTTGGAACCTGGTTGATCCACCCAATGGCGTGAGAGCCATTGAGTGTAAATGGATTCTCAAGAAAAAGATAGACGCTGATGGAAAGGTTCACATCTATAAGGCACGACTGGTAGCGAAAGGTTTTCGTCAAATTCAAGGTGTTGACTATGATGAGACATTTTCGCCCGTCGCAATGCTGAAGTCTATTCGGAAACTTCTAGCAATTGCCGCATATTATGACTATGAGATTTGGCAAATGGACGTCAAAACAACTTTCCTTAATGGAAACCTAAGTGAGGATGTGTACATGACACAGCCTAAAGGTTTTGTCGACCAGCAAAATGCTAGAAAAGTGTGTAGACTTAGGAAGTCTATATACGGTCTAAAACAAGCATCCCGGAGCTAGAATCTTTGTTTTGACGAGGTAGTCAAATCGTTTGGCTTCTCACAGAATAAAGAAGAGGCATGTGTTTACAAGAAGGCTAGTGGGAGCGCACTCGTATTTCTAATCTTGTATGTGGATGACATACTATTGATTCGGAATGATATTCCGCTTATGGAGGATGTCAAGGCCTCATTGAGAAAGAGTTTCTCTATGAAGGACCTTGGAGAAGCAGCCTACATACTGGGCATAAAGATCTATAGATATAGGTCTAAACGCTTAATTGGATTAAGCCAGAGCATGTACCTCGACAAGATGTTGAATAGGTTCAACATCAATGATTCCAAGAAAGGATTCATACCTATGTCACATGGTGTAACCTTGAGCAAGACTCAGTGTGCGTCGTCGCCTGATGCACAAGAAAGGATGAGTCGGGTGCCATACGCTTCGGCTGTTGGCTCGATCATGTATGCCATGTTGTGCATGTGCCCAGACATTTCGTATGCTCTAAGTGTTATGAGCAGGTACCAATCCAACCCAAGTGATGGTCACTGGGTTTTAGTAAAAATATCCTAAAGTACTTCCGAAGAACTAAGGATATGTTCCTAGTCTATGGAGGTTCGGAGGAGCTCGTTGTAAAGGGTTACACCGATGCTAGCTTCTAAACTGACCAGGACGATAGCAAATCTCAATCGGGATATGTCTTCTGCCTCAATGGTGGTGCAGTGAGCTAGAAAAGTTCCAAGCAAGAGACAGTTGCAGATTCGACAACAGAAGCCGAGTATATTGCAGCTTCGGAAGCTGCAAAGGAAGCTGTATGGATCAGAAAATTTATTTCTAAGTTGGGCGTGGTCCCTAGTTGCTCCAGTCCGATAGACCTCTATTGTGACAATAGTGGTGCTATCGCACAGGCAAAGGAGCCTAGGTTCCACTAGAAGTCCAAACACATACTACGGCAATATCACCTGATTCGAGAAATCATCGATCGAGGAGATGTGAAGATATGCAAGGTGCACACCGACCTGAACATTGCAAATCTGTTGACTAATCCACTCCCACAAGCAAAGCATGAGATGCATACGAAGTCAATGGGCATGAGATGCTGGCATAACTGACTAGCACTAGTGGGAGGCTTATGATGATGTATTCCATAAAGGTAGTCATAAGATGATGACATCATGTCAATGTTTGTAATCTGCATTTTTCAGTGATATGTTCCATGACTTTGTCATTATATGTGATTAGCGAATGCGTGATTCGTTAGCGAAACTCCATGATACAACATTGACATTGTACTAAAAATGGTCCCCAGCTTCCATCCGTCATGCGGGACTGTGACGTAGAGATAAGCTGGTACATGTGTTGGGTGGATGATCTTGTTTCATAGGTCATGGCAATATGGGATATTGAGCCAACAATGTAGGCACGTGTTAGGAACATGGTGCCAGATAGACCCACAACGAGACACCGCGAATACACTGCTATCGGTGAATCTCGTAACGACATGCATATTACGTCCTTAGACCAGAGATCGGTATAGAGTCCCGGATTGTGGAGCATCACATTTTGGGGTTGCTAAACGCTATTCCGTATCTGGGTAGTTATAAAAGCAGCTTTTAGATGTGGTTGAAGCAAGTCGCAGGGTGTACCGAGTCAAGAAGGAATCTACCCCTCCTGTTTCAGGGAGAGACTCCTCTGGGCCCTCTCGATGTGATGAACTAAAAGCGCATGGCCATGCCTCGACTAAAGGTTAGTCAATCAGAAAAGTTCTTCACTGAGCGAGAAATGGCTAAGAATAAGGGTAGCACTTCATTCGCCTTACACTTGGCTAGGTGTCGTGTGGCAGAAGGATATATTATTGGCAGGTGTTATAGGTTATGCAAGATATGATCTTCGTGAACCTTCGGGAGTCAGTACGCCTTGCTAGAGGCCAATGCTAACTATTGATCGGAAATGGTTTTTGAATCATGTCCGTAGGTTGCATGAACCTACGGGGTCACACACTTAAGGGATTGGAACACATGGATACTTGCATAATTAACTCTTGTGCAAGTGGGAGACTGCTGGTTATGCCCAAGAGGGGCCTGGCCCAATTAGCGCTGGCCCAATTAGCAAGTCTATAAATGCTAATCAGCTTTTAACCCTAGGTGATGATTCCTGCTGCCGTAGGGCTCCTGCCAGTGCAGCCACCAGCCAAGGTTACTACCGCCGCCGCACCTGCAGTCCTCCCCCCGATCAAAGGTTGATCGTGAGGATCTTCGAGTACGTGCCGTGGAGTGCTAGCACGCTCCGGTTCGTCGTCCCATCCCGTACGTGTGGACTACCGTAGAGGTGTCGCTAGTTTGTGCACTTCGTTAGATCGTACGATTACTTCCTCAACGTTGATCGGATTGACTACTCGCGCTTCATCAAGACTTCTGCTGCGACGCGCGACGAGCGAAGGTATAATCTATGATCATCTACTCGCAAGTGATCCTGTTTACGCGGTTAATTCTTTGTGTGCTAGCGAGTAGCATACCGCGTTTCTATCAGAGAGAAGATAAATGATTAGACCAAAATCTATCTTGAAGAAACCTTGAATATAATTACTTTGTGTAGTGTGTATATAACTTATCAAATACTAGTTAAAAACCATCTTATATTTTTAGGTTGAGTTTGCCAAAATAATGTCAGTTCAGAAACAAAACCTACCAAAAAGGCTAGGTACCAGTTATTTGTGCTCGGTTATCAGAGAGGATCATCCAGACACAGAGATCGTTGGGTTCTGCAAGTCTGGCGTGCCTGGATGCCTTTACCGATTGGATCATCTGGCAGTGCGAATTGAAAAGACGGTGTCAGAGCTTCAACTACTGTGCCCTCCCTAGTTTAATCTACCTGTGCCCTGCGTGCCTCCGAGGGCGATAATAAACAAAAAAAGGTTCTTCCATGGAAGTTCATCTCTTTTCATGCCATGCAGAATATAATGAAGGACAAGAAGCTAAAGTCGTCGATGGTAAACTGAATACATAATCAACTCATCGATCGGCTGGCGCGCTGTCATCGCGCTGGTGACGTATGGCATATGCGAGTGTCATGCTTGTTGGCGGGCGAAATTTAATGAGACGCCGGACGACCTGCTTGGAGTCATGGAGTGTCGCGTGGCCGCATAATTTTAAATTCAAAATTTCAAAATCTTGAATATTAAATTTTGAAATTTGAGTTTAAAATTATCAAATAATCTTGGATATTGATATGGTCTATATGAA